CTCGCCTGGTCGGAGAATCCTCCGTTTGTGTTGAAGCGACATAACATCGGTTCTTCGATAGATGTATTCCCAATATTAATTGCCTTGAAATTGCCAATAAAAAAGTTGGTCACACATAAGTTGATATAAATATTGATGAGCCTTTAATACTCGTATGACACAAACTTGAAATGTACAGCATACCACACTTAACGTACAACTGTTTCTGCGGTGTAGGTTACAATCTAAATAAATTATAATCAAATACGGGACTCAAGTCTCTTCATTTCCGTTTATTTGATTTTAATTAAATGATACGGACCCATCTAATTAGCGCGGTGTACAGCGAGGCGTTTAAATAAACAATGTTTTGCTAATATATTAAAGTTTTAATTTTACTGAAGAAATCTGATGTTCATTAATTATTTTCACGGCGAATTCAGCCCATGTTTAATTAAAGAGCGTACGATTTACTAGGTGTCTCTTAATGTAACATTTTTAATGTTTGATATTTCCAAACATATATTTGTTAAGGTACAAACGCACTAAACGCACACGCAGAACCAGTAAACGCACACGTAGAACCAGAAGCATAACGGTGTCGTGCATTTAGTAAGGTAAGAAACATACATACATATAGTGCGTTGAGTTCCCTCAACAGATGGTAACAGTATACCTTATACGAGTACTTGAGACCTTTGAACTTTATGTAGATATAGCTCCAAGTTTACTTAGCGTAAAATTTTGTAATCTTTAAAAACTTGGGATGGTAGGTAGTGGTAAGAGAGACACGCACCATCAGAATACAATAAAGCACCGATCGCTGTACAGGTGATAAGCAAGTGAACAGAGCCAACAATCGATCAAAACTTATCGAATTTAAAAGCTTAAATATAAATAATGACAAACGGCCATTACTCGTAGTTTGGATATCTCAGTAGTGTACAAAAGAACGCTCCTCTTAGGCACCTATTATCGCAATTAATAGTTGTTATGCCTATGACATATTTTAGTATATGTATATTCGTATAAAAACAATATTTATGGTATGTTCATGAATAACGATTCATGAACATACCACAAATTTATTAGGCGACAGTGTTTTTATCGTGATACTCATCAAGAAGTTAGTATTTTAAAAATTACTTCTTGCCTTAATATACCTATTTATTCACGCTTATATCTCGAAATGGCATGCAGAGACCTATAAATCGCTAACATTTAACCAAAAATATTCAGCCGACAACTGGGCAATCTGGATATTTTAGATTGAAAACTTAGGAGCTTATTGAAAGGGAAAGTGAATGTAATGTGAATGGATGTTGAAGAAGAAGAGAAATGGAAGTAAAGGAATGTTGCTTATATGGATTGATTGTAGGATGTATCTCTTTTCTATAGTCTAGCTCAAAGAGAGTCAGGCAGAATTGATTTCCCTTAAAAATAATATAATTAACATTATTCCATAATTATTTTACTCATTTGAAATAGACAAAAAATTTAGGTTTTTGTTAATATGAATGGTCTATACGTCATAGGATATGGTGGGCCTATAGGGCTAAACATATTCATAATCCACTGTAGTAAAAAAATATTCAAAACGATCAAAGTATAATCTAAATTTTATAGTCGAACTAATTGTTTTGATCTGAATTTGAAGATTGGACTTTTTTTAGTTCGAGTTATCTAAGTTTGGTATAAACTACTCGCTTCTAATTTCCAGCCAATTATAATCCTGAAATGGTTTCTCTTGAATAGAAGTCTACTATCTTAGTCTTTAAGATTACTTTTCTTTTGGTGACTTGGAAGACAAACGACTAATATAATAGCGAATTAAAAAAAAGCTTAAGACACAGAATGTTAATACCATAATATGTAAAGTGGGACACAGCAGTGACCCGCTTCTTTTAGTTTATGGTAATCGGAATGTTGTGGTGCGGCTTATCAATATTATCGCACATATAAATGAGTTGGACAGTGTTTAAAATAGTATAGAAGGCATTAAAACTTAATAGGTTATATGTGTTTGATGATACTGTGTTACTAATGTCGGAAATATTTATGTGACCGCAATTCATTGGTCAAACCTGCATTCAATACTGCTGTGGAAAAAGCCCACTTGGACGGTTTGTTTAAAGATCTTTGGTGTTTTATTCTTTACTAGCTGACCCTGCAAACGTTGTTTTGCTTATTTACATTATTAAAAAAAAAATTTTTAATTTTCAAAATCCTTTCTTAGCTGACCTCTACTCGGTGAAAAGAATATTCCTATCAAATTTCAAGTCTTTATCTCTAATGGTTCCAGAGATATCGTGATGAGTGACTATATACGTGGAAATCTCTTATTTATATATAGATAAGTTTATTTCATTAGGTAAATAAAAATACTAATGATGTTTTAAAACATAGTGTATTTTCTTTTAAAAGCGACCTTTGGCCTCTGAACCCATATCTACATTGTTACAATTATAGAATACGCTTATTTGGCAAACATTATCAAATTAATTAATAAAATAATTAAGAACCAACTTTTACGATGCTTAGAAAATAATGAGTAAAACACACAGCAATTTTCGTACTGCATCAGCGTTCAATTTGCGGCATGCACACAACTTTAGTTCAATAACTCCAATCTATTCTACACGAAAGCAATATCCGGTGATCCGGCTTCCGTAAACAATTAAAAGTAGCTATACTTCAGAAACAGCTGTCGTGTGCACATGTCTTTGTTAGCCTTGCAGTTTTATGTGTTGTGCAAAGGCTTTATAGTTCAAAGCCTTTGCACAACACATAAAAATACGTGTCGATGGTAAAACATTTTATTAATTTTACGTTTCACGACTAATATACTATATGGAATGTTATTTTAAACTTATTAAATACTAGCTGACCCGCGCAACATCGTCTGCGTCTCTCAATAGTAATAAAATTTCTCCGTTTTTGAAACATTCATCATTGGTGCTCCGCTCCTATTGGTCTTAGCGTGATGATATATAGCCTATAGCCTTCCTCGATAAATGGGCTATCTAACACTGAAAGAATTTTTCAAATCGGACCAGTAGTTCCTGAGATTAGCGCGTTCAAACAAACAAACAAACAAACCAACAAACAAACTCTTCAGCTTTATAATATTAGTATAGATAGAAACAGTATTTATAGAAATACACACTGGTTAAATGTGAATTAAGTGCAAAACTCTATCTACGATATACGATGACTATTGATGGGAACAGACATTAGGATTAAGAAAACCGAACGATGCGTAATGTGACAGATTAACAAAACTGATTTCAACGGTGAGTTTAGATGAAATGTAAAGTTTATTTTATAACGTTTTTAAGATGAAATCTGACCAATTATTTCAGATTGCCATCTTAATAGACTAAGCCCGTATTATGTTGTCTATTTGTGTTTAATGAACACACGGGCAGACAAACGGTCCGCTTGATGTAAAATAGTTAGCGATATATTCACCACTTTACCATAAACATTACTATTTTATTCTATATCTTATAATAGCTGTAAGTGTTTATCTGTATAATTTGTAACTTCTTTTAAAAAATAAGTAGTCTGAACTTACGTACCAGTTAGTTGTGACTGTCTCTTTACTTTTGTAAACAAGTAAGGTTTCTAATAAACTTAGCTTAAGTACTTACTAACTTGTTATTCCAAAGACAAGTCGCGTCCGCGGCGTAGGTACTTATAGTTTCATACCTAAAATGTGGAGTGGGCATAGCCTGACTGAAAAGACAAATACTAACAGCCCAATCGATAAAGCTGTACTTTTAACATTTAATATTAAAAACATAATGTGTCCCTTTAGGACAATAATGTTAAAATAATGACATTAGGTTGGTCACGTAAAAGCTATAGATTAACCCGGCTTTTGGTGTGAATCTCTTAATTTACGAACAGCTTTTAATAGTTCGGGCGTGATAGAAATTTAAACAACTTTGATTTGTCCGAAAGTAACATTTATAAATTGTACAACAGAGTACATAACAACAAGATATTTATATACTAGTATATAAGCTTTTTAAATTTCGTTTTAATGTTCATACGGCGTCATCTAACTAACTATGGTCTTAAAAAGACGACTAATTTAAAAAAGTATATGATTACTTAATAGTAAAAAGGTAAGGGCAGAGTTGGCTGGAGTAGTATGGGGAAGTAGAATATATATTATATTATAATATAAATACACTCTATTTTACGTATTCGTAAGTCATATATAAACTTGTATTTCAACTTTAACTGTAAAGTTTCAACGTTTATTTAAGTATAAAAGGTTTGCCGCATACTGTTTACATATGTATGATATTCTTTTTATTAATTAACAAATTGTATAATATTTATTAAGAATTTACTTATTTACTTATACCAATAATATGAATCTAAATATTTCTTGGATTGATTTAAGACCAATTTAAAGGACAAGATAGGCAGATATTTCACCATCAATAACATCAACAGCCTTTAATAGTGACTACTGGACTTAACCTCTCCTTAGAAAGGACTTTTTATTTTTATTTATTACTTGCCAAATAAAAAGCAATGTGACTACGACGTGATAAATTTAAAGACTTAAAATCTTTTCTTGTTGATATAAGGTTAGCTGTATTAGTGAATTAACCTCAATTCACCGAAGAGAGAAGACAGAGAGAGAGAGAGAGAGAGAGAGAGAGAGAGAGAATATTTCGTTAATACTAGTTGTAGCTACGTTACTAACACGTAGTTTGGCATGTATTTGTGGTAATAGTTTAAAACCTTTGAATATAAACAGGTTATCTCATGAAAAAATAAACATTTAACAGCTTTATTATTTTTTTGCAATACTATCGAAAAGTATTCTGTTGAGAAGCTCTATCTAATAGTATCTATCTAATTGTGCTTAGTCTATTAGGTAATTAAGTTAAGGAACATCCACCTTCAAGAGCGTACAGCTTTTACAAATTGTTGACCATCAAAACTTGATTATGTCCTTTGCTACTATTTTTATAAAAACCTTTTTCTCTTCTTTACAGAAATAGTGGAAGAACAACAATGTCACGACAACGAATTCCGGCTAACGTGCCGGGAGCTGGACTCACATATAGCAGTGTTAGAGGCGTGGTACACTTCCGCAGAAGACTACCAGTTCAACACCACCACCCACGAAAGTCTTACGATCAAAACTGAAAACGATTCAGAACTAAACAGAGTTTATGTGTATTCTAGTCCAAAACACAACGGTGTTTACCAGCTCTCAAATCATTCCATGTTTGAAAACTTAAGTTCTTCAACTGTTAATAATACTTTTGAGTTTGATGATTTTTTCAATGAGACGTTTTCGAACGAAGCGATAGATGTCTCGGTGGATATTTTCAATGTGTCTGGGTGTGGAGTGCCAACATTTGCAAGGAGTTATGCCAGTTGGCGGGAAGGAGATAAAAGGAGACGGCATCAGGCGAGGGAGATGTCGATTAATTTAAGAGCACCTGTCACTTATCGGTGAGTAATAGCGATATTTGAGAAGTTATTCTTACGTTTTTTATTAAAAGATTATAAAGCCTAACAGAGAGTACAACATAATTTAGAAGAATGTTTGTTACCTTATCATATAATTTTATTTTAAGTTAGAAGTTCCGCACCTCAGGTAAGAGAAAAACCTAAAATTCTACTGAAATACGAATACTCTCAACTTTCTTTTGTTACCTACTCTACCTTTTTAGGTCCGTTAAGAAATATTGAAATAACACAAATTGTTCAATTTACCTTTTTACTTTATATTCAAACGTACTATTATATGTTTAGATTATATTAGGTTCTACATGTTTCTTTCTTTGTCAGTGTCGTCGTCGTGTACGTCACAAAAATAAGTGACGACAAACCAATTCTAAAAGATCTCAATCACTCCTTGAAAAAAGCCCATGTTATATTAAATGCCAAATAGGAATATAACAAAATGTTTATGGATTAAATTTTATAGTAAGTATAATAGTTAACTTTTGCAATAACTTTTTATAAAAAAATGAATCAGATGATTAACAAATTATACATAAAAAGATGGATTGAAATGTATAACTACCGCCATTATCAAAATAGACTAGCATGTTATAAGCTATTAAATTATCCAATTATACTGTAGAAAATATTCGTAACAAGCCATTTATTCGGCAGCAATTTAAACTATGTTATAGCGTGTATATGTCTTAATAATAATTGTGGATGAAATGTTTTAATTCAATTATGAACAAAGGTTACAAAATGAGTGTTGAAAGGTTGATAAAATAATTTAGGGTTACGAAGTGTTAAAGTAATGGTTGCCTACTTGTATGTATAGTACGTCAATCTTTGTTTTTATGTTTTATATTTAATTTGTTGTGAATTCAGTGTTATTACACTATTAGTGCCCTATTGGGCGCTGATGATTATGTTTTGAGAGATCGAAATCTCCCTATCGATCGAATCTACTTAAGAAATGTAGTTAATTAAAATTAAGCTTTAGAAGCAAGATCGTCTAAGATAACTGCACGGATGTCGTAGTGGTCTAAGCGGTTACCTCGCCGTTTCCCACTGCGCTGAGTTTTGTGGGTTCAATCCTCACATGGGACAACACTTTGTGTGATCTAAACATTGTTGCCATTGACATCGGTCAAAATATCGGTATTCTACTAACATAAAGTCACAGTGTCAATAGATTGTCGATGTAGTACATACTTATCGTGTCGATGACAACACTTTACACGGTTTTGGCCCAGTGCTCGTCGACGCGAATGGCGTTTGGCCTCGCTTGATATAGGTCGTCAAGCGTACACGATTCTGGGATTCATGATTATATTATTATTTATACACGATTCATGCTCGCGTAGCATGTCAGCAAGTGGCCCATTGTTTGTAGAGATGCGCCACAGCCGCATTTATTTGCGCTTGGGTCGACAAATCCCCACCTTGACAGATTGCCCTTAGATTTGCCAACCTAGGTACGTAACCTATTAAGTGCCTTCCAGATTGGTCAGGGGAGTTTATCTCCTGGAAGTAGTTTTTCTGCCAAAGGGGCGAAAATGGAGAGCCAACGTCGATGTAGTGACAACGGCTCATCAATGGTGATGTCAGCAACATTGCCATATCTAGAAAATTTAATACATAATTTCCTTACAAATTTAATATTTACGGTTTACCAAACTATTACATCCGGCCATTGGTCTTATATAGTTAGTAGAATAGGTAAATTGCAAAACTATTCCAATGACAGTCCATTGAAAGTCTATTGATACAATATAAAAATAGCAGAAACTTTTTTTAAAGACAACTCTCACTCTAGGAATATAACGGACACAAAGAACACACGGCTATCCGTGTGTTCTTTGTGTCCTTTATATTCCTAGAGTGAGAGTTGTCTTTAAAAAAGTTGAATATTTATATTAGCACTACTTTTGCCTAACTGCCTATGGCCTAACTGTCCGTGTGTTCTTTGTGTCCGTTATATTCCTAGAGTGAGAGTTGTCTTTAAAAAAAGTTAAATATTTATATTAGCACTACTTTTTCTACTATTTTCTATCGTTGATGAGGTGTATTGAAAATAAATAACAACCGAGAGAAAAATAATAGACGAGAGTCTCTTTTTGGGAACCCTATTTAAAACGATTAATCCTTTTGGAGCTTTGACCCCATAAACAAACATAGACTTAATTCTTAAGCGCCCCTCTGTCAAACTAGGGTATAAATCGGTCCGTAGCATGTCTAAAGCCCAAAAACCCAAGGGTAAAGTTTTTGTCCAATTTGTAAGTCTAATGAGTTATTCAAAATCTTTAATTTAAAAAGTAGGTTTTCTGTAAGGCTGTGGTAGCACTCCAATCGAGCCGGCCCATTGAGCTCTAAGAATGAAAGCTCTCCCAGGGTTTCATATTTACTACTAGCTGGTACCCGCTGGTACTCGCTCGCGTGGAATTTGAAAATGTATATATAGTATTATATGGTACGATTCCCGGACCTGGAAAAACTTTATGAGGTTTTTCTGAGAGGAAAAATAGCCTAAGGCATATTAATATATAGGCAGCCACCTGGTAGTAAAATGTTATCAAAATCGGTTCAGCCGTTTAGAACATTACCAGGCACAAAGAGAAAAAAATTAACCTTGTTTTTAGGTATCGTGCAAATAACCGTGTGAGCATAAAAAAAACCTATTATTTTGACATTACAAACAGAGATTTCAATTTTATTTATTTGTATAGGTAAGTAAATAAGAATAAGACGAGTACTAAAACAAATGACTCCAATAATGCGTCGTGTGTGATATGGTTGATTACCTATAAAATAACTTATTATTCATTAGGGAGTCCACTGTCCACGCACGTATCGATGTCATTGATATCATTCCCATGGGAAAAACGCTCATGAGAGTTTTGTGTGTTACCAATTAACAGCCTTTTAGAATGACAAGTTGGCAAAGCCTTAAGTGACATTTTGAAGACCCATTCATACTGCTAAGATGCGTTTGGTTACAGCTGACCAAATATGAGTAAAGTACTCGAAGACGATTCCTTGTTTATGGTTTTCTAAAGAGTCTACAAAACGAATGTCGGACCCATTGTATTCCAGTATGACGTTTTTATAATTAAATGTAATACACATATAATGATATGGTTATCTATGTGTTGTTTAAAAAAAAAAGATTTTGATGCGTGCACTTGGCGTGGTGTAAACTTAATACAATCATTTGAACTTTAATGTTAATCATTACTGAATTAAATTAAAACATATGGATATCAATATCATTATTCAACTTCTTTAAAAATAATTTTTTTTGTACGCTCTAAAGTTGAGGCAGACAGCGCGGCGGGCCGCGTGTAACAGTCTTTGAATATACAGATAAAGAATCAAACTTTTATCTTACAGTACGAAGACTTACTTTTAAGGAGAACTAAAAAAAGATTAAGACGAAAATTAGGAATTAATATTAAGCTATTGGAACACAAAATACTTTCTACCGGTATTACTCAATGTCCTAATTTAATCGATTACTTACCTTTTTGTAAAAGTAAATACGAACGTTTTTAGAGCAATGCTGCAATTGTAATGTTTACATATTGGTAAATATCTTTTGGTTCAGTTTTATATCATTCACGGTTCATCTGCTCTTTGAAACTGGCGAATACATTAGCTTAAACTGTTCGTAACCATTCTAGTAGAGATTTCAATAATATTTGTACGTAACTAGACATTTAAGATTATAAACAATAAATAATGATGAACTATTTTAAGTGAGTAGTCGTTCAAGAATTTAACTTAAAATTACAGTATTAGAGTCTATAATTTATAAATTTTTTACTGTGCGTACATGCGTTGACGAGTCATCAGTGTAATGTATCTTTATGGGACGTCAAGGTCAAAGGTTATCAGTACTATCAGTTATTGAGGTCTAGATAACAAAAGGTAACTGATCTTCCTAATAAGTCACGCGTCAACATTACGCGTAATTAATTAAAATAAGGAGTTGGAGAAGAAGCGTGTTATAATAATAATGGCATGAATATAATACAAATTGTCAGAAGTGTGTACTTACAACTTTTAAGAAGAACTTAATTGTTGTTGAAAATTTAATTGTTGGAAATGTATAACTGTGGGATAAGATTTTTCTGGTAAATAAGAACTTCGATGAGTTTCTATGTAAACAGAGAAGAAGGCTTTGGAAAAAATGTGGAGCTTGAAAGCGTAGAAGAGATTTAGTATTGTCTAATATTGAATTTTCTTTAGGTGTGAAATGGTCGTGCACTTAACATAAGAATCAGTTCTTAAAAGCAATAATCAGATAATGCCCAAGTTATGTTTATATTTGTTTAAATAGACAGGTTTTAATACTTAACTTTCAAATAATCAGTGACTACATTAGATTCTATACTACTAAAGTAAGTTAACAACGAGTAAGTTAAAGAAAATTTAAGAACTTAAGAACTAAAACCTAAACACACAACTAACTCAAAGTATTTCGTACATCGTAAAATCGTACTGGTTGACGTTCCCTTTTTAACTTCAAGTCACGAGGCTCGAAACTTACAAAGGTTTTTTGTTTGTATGTAATGGAGGACAAACGAGCAGACGGGTCACCTACTGGTAAGTGACTACCGCTGCCAATGGACACCAGTGTATTGCTGTAGGGAGGGGGGGAGGGGGGTGTTGAGTTGTTCCTCCGTTAACCTTATTCGCTTGGTGAAAAGTGATGAAATTAAACGAGCTTTGTTGCCATATGTTAAGCGCTATCTGCGTTTCTAATTCAAACAATTCGAAGTTCACTAGAAAGACTGTTGTCGGACTTGTAAGGGCTCCAACAAGTCCGACCATGGATGGGTGACTCGTGTGAGTCACCCATCCATGGAGGAAGAAGAAGAAGCCTGGCTCTCCCGCGGTTACTTCACTCCTGTATTAACGTCTGCCATAATCGAGACTAACGAAAATCTAAATGACAGAAGTGTTCTCTAAGTAAATCCTTTGTACAAGTGTTGTATCTATACTAAAATACCGTTTTAAAACCTGCATCGAACAGGCAACCAACTCGAAATGGGTATTTCTGTTATTTATGTATCAACGCATTCGGAAATCAATGTTTCCGATTCCTGTAACAATATTTAAAAGATTAATTTATTCCAGTTATGTTCTCCTTTATATCAAAAGGTAAAAAAGATTTTAAGCAAACTCAAGAGCGTAGCTTTTTATCTCTCTTAACTTTTGATGTTGATGTTATTTATATCTTTCATTAGTTCGGTTGAAGTAGTAATAATGATTTTAATGTCTTAATTCACTATAAAAAGACGGCTTTATGATATATTTATTAATTGCTTTTAATAGATCTATTATTTGAAGATTGACTTGCGGTCGATTGAGTTCTGTTTATATTCCGATCACCGTTTTGAAGACATTCATTTTTAAATTTTATTCCATTCTTAGCTATGAACA